ACTATGATAAAAAAATTGTACTCCCAAAAATAGTTTGTAATTATAAAACATCGTATCCTGTGACTGATCTAACTACGTAAAAAAAAGAAACAAGAATCGGATCGGCTTCAAGCCAAATATAGTTGAGCTGGGCTATGTTCCCGAGTTAATCAAGCGTTTACTCGAACCATGGGAAACCGCGTAAATCGATATAAGTCAAATATAACAACATCTTATACCTTATTTAAAATTAATCCACTTCTTGTGTTATTCGGCGATAGATTAAGTGATAATGTTCCATTTATGTAATAATAAAAGAGGAAGAGAAAATTTATGCCAATTGGATCAAATAATATCATGGAAAAAAAATAAATAGTCGTGATGATTATAGAGCAGTTAAGTTTATTTATTTTGTTGTATTCGAATCATGATTTGTATAAAATATATTTTTTGTAGGCATTAGTATATAGAGTCATAATCAAATAGGTTTAAACAGAGATGTAGATGGTACAGTCACAAGATCTGCTTATGAGTTGGAGTTAATCAGGAGCGATATTTCCGCATGACCTCTTTGGCGAAGTAAAATGCCAATATTTAGGCGTACGTAAATAAAAAGCGTTACCGAGAAACTGATCATTTTTATAACCGGTACAGGTACTATTGCTATGTGATGGTGGTACGCCTACTATTCCACGACAATTAACTGATCATAAAGTATTTAATGTTCTTTATATTCCTTCAGTCCTTCCTATTCAGGTTTATAACTAAAAATACGGACCGATAGGAAAACAACACAATATTTTTTTTAACCAGCCTTCATTTTACAAATCTAATTTGTCTCTGGCAAGAAATGATTATTTCATATACAGAGTAATGTATCGTGATTCACGCGAAAGAACAATTCGAGCAAATACATGATATAACACAAGCATGGCTTCACTAAATTGAATTTGGTTTGTTATTTATTCAGTTGCGTACGTATATTCAAGTTGTTTGTTTGTTTCGCCGTGGTGTAGCTTAAACAAGCCCATATATACATCATGGATATTCAATTACTAGAAAACAGACTGAATATGAAATTTCTCGTTCTATGTCATGTTTTAACGCGTTCGCGCTTGCAGACAGTGGATCAATATTCATGTTGCGAATTTATGTACAACAGCTGGGCCCACGAATGAGGATCATACAGCAGATCTTTTTAAATTTTTATACAGTATCCCAACGGATTTGAATTAGTTCGTAACATAAAACAATATAAATGCAAAGCTGTCGTTTAAAATAATCAATGTCTCCTTCGAAAATCCATAAAAAAGCATTTATACCGTATAGATATTGTAAGCCCACTCGAGAGTATGAGGCGAGATCAAGTTGTAATATCCTCTAGTCATAAAGCCTGGAATGGGATCTCATGGTATATGTATATAGATAAAATCGCAGCAGTTAAGGTGTAAGGTACAAATTGAGTATAACGATTGCAGGTCGAAACTGGAATATGCTAAAGAATGTAGAAAGCGTAAGGCATATAGCAGAGTTTTTTATTATTATTTAGTCTGTGCTTTACTTCTGGAATGAAAATAAGATAATGTCAAGGTAATATGCTACGCTTACAGCCTTGGGTACTCACCCATAAATAGTTAAGGTTCGTAAGTGCTGTGCAACATTACTGAAACTGTAATGTCTATGAAATACGAAAACCTGTGGAACTATATAAATTAATTATGGGTAACTACGCGCCAGTAAATGACAATTTGCGCAAGACTTAGCCAATCAGTTAGCCAATCCTGTGGAAACAGCATCGTATAGTGAATTCAACATAACTAAAGTTCTTCGAATTAAACTTGTCCGGTACAGTGACAGTGAATGAGATATCGCAAGCAATCGAGTATATGACACTTTGATTAGGGTGAAGTTCCGAATGTTCAGAAGCACACAGGCGTTATCATATTTGTAAAAATAAACGCAGTTAGGGAACACTTCGTCGGTGAGAAAGACTCCATCATATTTGTTGTTATCTATAGAACTAGTTGCGGCATCGTTTGTCTGGCGAGCGATAACAACTGAGTATACTCAAAAACAATACGATCTTCATTTTCAATTTATTGTGTATAGTTCTTCTCTTCTTTATATCGCTTGTGAAATTAAATTCTTGCAAATATAATGTGAACTTAACTTTTTCCAGTTCGGAATCAGGGACGTTTATAAATATTATTTATGTCATATTAATTATAGCATTTTTGACCTGAAATGATACGGAGATGTATATAAAAATATAAATATCTTTAAATACGAACATAGCACATATGCAACATAGCAATTGGACATGAAACGATTAGGATTGCGAGCAGAGGAGATGATCTTTAGGCAATTATCCGAAATAAATATAAAACAACGGGCTAAGATAAATTCAATCTTTTCCAGCACAATCGCTTCCTATATTACAATACCTATATCATGTGTAATGGCCCTGAGGAAATGATAGCATATAAAAATCATGTAATAAATCATTCATTAAATTTTAATAATGTTTCATATGACAATTTGTTGAGTTCTTTGCTGCGTCAATTACCCACTCTTGCCTCAATAATCTTTACCATAACCGACTTTCCGAAAATCAATTTTACGGTCTCGCAGTTGCAAGAAAATCGAATTTAGCGGTGCATGTGGTTGAAAATTAAAGTTCTGAACACAACCAAAGATTAGAAAAAGTCTCACGCTCTTGTTACGCTATTAAAAATACCGCTCCTTTCACAAATCGTTGTGTGTTACGAAAAGTACTTTGATTTTTTAATGAAAATGACCTACGACGGTACAGCCTGGATTATGCTACTAGCTTACGCAAATAATTCGCACCAAAATACAGAAAACACGTATATATCCGATAAAAAGTATATGTCGAGTATAAATAATATAGCGAATACCTAATTTTTGTTTTCAAATGGCAGACAATTCCTAATGAATAGGTAACTCTATCATCAATCGTTTGAAGTAGGTAATAAATAAGTCGCATTACTGACCTTTTGATGGGACGTATAGCGACCACCAAATAAATATCTACGAGCACATACATGTTCGCTTGATCTATTTCTAACAAAATTTAGTTAAATTATCAATACGATATTACTAAATCAATTGTAAAAGATGTTGGGGTTCGCGTAGATAACTACGCTTAATCCAGAGTATTTTATTAGAGATAATAAAATCTGTGTGAATATTATGGATCTTTTTGTTAGTATCTCCTCAATCAATTACTGGGATATGAATTCACGACACTCTAAACAAAATGTTAAATTGTGATACAGCCCCTATATCCATTATTTGGTAAAGTTATTGTACCCAAAGATCAATTAACTCACCCCTACATTTCTCATATAACATTCAAAATTACAAATTTTTTTTTACTTTTCGTAGTGAAAATAGGAAAGTTTTTGACAAATAAATTATTCATGTCAAAATAGATCGAAACAACAATGGATAAAAAATAAGCAAATATACTGTCATTTTACAGTTAAGATATTCAAAGTTATTAACAAAATATAACGCGTCAAAGATTTGAGTAATCAAGTTGGTTTAGTTAATGGTATTTCTATCATCTTGTAAGGGGCCTTTTCCTAATATAACCCATATAAACGTCGATTCGAATACTTTAGAATAGTGGTTGACACGCTGGATTTTACAGAAAATGAACCTAACGTGTCTGTGTTTAAGACGGGACGGAGAGAGTTTTTAAAATCAAACAGCACCTCTTAAATTACGCTAATGCGCGGTATTTACATTTCCACTGTTATTCGAATAACATTTTTTGTTGAATACTATTTCATTTTATTTAAAAGCATCCCCTGAGCCAAATAGTCGGTCTAATCGGAATTTAACAGCACTTAACGAGATTCACGAGAACAGGAGAGATCATCATGGTTTCTGAAAATATGCACACAATAAAATTGTGTTCAAAATTTCGGCATCCTTTCTCTTATCGTACTTTTTAATGTTCTTATCTCGAGTTTGAGTAAAAAAATCACTAATATCCTAGAAAGAATTTTTTATGATAATTTCATCAGAGTAAAGTTATGCCTACCCATTAGCAAAAACTCACCACATGAAGACGTGAGCAACCACGGTAAGGGATACTGAAACAATACAACAACATTTGAGTAACAGTTAAAAAAGCTAGTACAAATAAAGAAAGAACCAAAGAGAAAGCAGAGCTAATTGTAATATATATGTGTTAAATAAACGCTGAGAGACAACATTTCGTTATTGAATTGTAGGATCAAGTTATATAGAACAGGCATAGAAGTATCGTCTCAAGAATGATAGCAGACCCCAATGAACCACTGGTATCAGTGGTTTGCACAGGTGAGAGTCAAGAGCCGCTTGCTAGGGTGTGTCGACCTGGCAAACTTAGTTCATCCATTCAGGGTTTTGATTCTAACGTTAAAATTAGAGAAATATCAATGGTTTCAACTGGAAATTGATATACACCATCAGTGAAACTGAGCATTATTTGGGATTTCATCTGATGTTATGCCGCTATAAATCAATTATTCTGTAACTCTTTAGCCCCAAAACAGGTATTTCTAGATTTTTTTTATTGTGTTGGACAGGTGTGCGCATTATCACATTTTATTTAAAGTTAATATTTAAAGATGCATATCGTAAATGCAATTTCTCTATTTCCCCACTGAACCTGTACTTGATTTGGATTTAATTTAATGTGTAGATTTCATATAAAATGAAATATCTATCGTAGTTACCTACTGATATAGAGTCATATAGAAGTTTAATAAATAAAATGACAAAGTCCAAGATAAAGCAACAATAGGGGATTGAGCAATAGTAGTATTTTTTTCTTTCCGATAGCGCTATTATACCTCTGTAACACATTTTATGACAACTATGTACTTATGCTCGAGTAATACTCAACTTACTCAAGGGCAGAATATTATTGCGATGAATTTGTTTTATTTGTATTGAGGGTTATATAACAAATATCTCATCATATTCTTATTCATAAAACAGTTAAACCTCACAAAAATATTAAAATTTTGCACCGGGCTTCGATCACATCGCCGTGAATTATTCTCAATATGACTAATTTGATATTTGTGCACATAAAGACCTCTATACTCAATATCAGAGTTCACTCAATAATATTACTGATTTTTCTGGGAGATTTATCAACATTTGGAATTACTTTTAATAATGGACTAAAATGCATATCCGCTTTAAAATCTCAAAGAACTTCCCGGCAGGCAGAACAATATAAAGGTAATATCGAGGACTCAGTGGAATCGGATCCTAACGTGGCTCTAGAGGGACAATGTATTGTGGTGTGTGATGCTGACATAATTGGTCTTAAAACATCATTAGAAAAAAGAAGCCAAGAAGCAAATGCAGAAAAGTATTACCAAAATCAAGAATTGAAGAACACCGACGAGAATATGCGTACAGGCCCAGTTACGGAAGACTCGTCAACTTCGTCGGGTAAATTATCATCCCGAGGATGTGGCGATATAATGGGAATAGGACGGCGAAACAGACGTGTTGCTTTTTCTGTGAAACGAAGTACAGAACTGACGACAGTAACCACTGCTATTAACGGTAGAGCAACTGTGACGTTTGATCACGTAATGGTCAACGTCGGAAACGCATTTGACATGGAAAGCAGTAATTTTGTTGCGCCTGTAAGCGGAGTCTACTCACTCTATTTTCAAGTATACAGATTATACAACAAAAGCCCATTGACGATTGATCTCTTGGTAAGTTGAACCAATTTGTCTATTTGGATAGTATGCCTAAATTTCTTATTCTCATAGTAACGAGTCACACTTTAACAATCGTTCACTAAGAATTTAAAGGCATGCATTGATTTTTCCAATGGTTAAATACGGAGTGAATATTTACAGGAAAAAGCAAACTGGTAAAAAGAAAATATATAAAAGAAAACCACCAACAACAAAAAAATGAAATTTAGCCAGTTGCAAGGTTGTCATAAACACGACACAATTGCACATAAAATAAGAAGTTGGAAGAAATTGAAACAAGTGCATAAAAGTACATAAAATCTTTGTAAAATTATTTTTTTTGTCATTGTATTCCACCTAAAATATGTTTGTTTGAATTGATTTGGAATGGGTCTTGAAGCTCCATTTTTTGCGATAAAGCGTATATCATGCTTTTTTGCGCATTGTACAAAAACCTCATACTATATCCGAACAAAGAAAAAATTATGATAGCGGCCAAGCACACCACGATATGAGTTTTCATCGCTTTCCAATATGCATATGGGACGTCTCAATGGTTTAATCAACACCTAAATTTCATGTAAAATTGTTAGGAATTACGCATTTACGGCTTCATAGATTACACCATGAAGCTATATAAGAGTTAACGAGGTTTTTAATTCTATTTCTAAGCATGAAGCTTCCAGCACACTCGAGTTGTTTGAAATTTACTTTGCTTGCGAAACTATTTCAGTTCACCTAACTGAACGTCTTATTCACTAATATTATATTACTATATTGGAATTGAACATTCAAGTATTATCAACATTCAAATGATTAAAAGAATTTTACCACTAGGAAATATTTAGATAACTATAAACTCATAAGAATCTCATAAACTCATCTGTGGGCGATTCTTATTTTACCTTGACATCTGACCTTTCAATAACTTCGACTAATAGCTTGTATAAGACAAATTCCATTTTAAAATACCTTGAATGCTCACGAGCAGGCGATTTGATATTTTTCTGGACCTCCGTAAAATATCGACAATGAATTCCATACAATTGTTTTGAATTTCAAGTGCTTTATTTATTGGGTTCGAGTCAGCCAATTTTCAAGCGGATTTTTTTTTATTAAACCACCACAAAACAAAAATGATTTTATTTTTTTGTAGGAGTCAACAAGTAATTAAAATCAACTATATAATATAGTCACAAAAGAAATGTTTTTCTTTAGATTAAACGCAGGAGCACTGTGTCATTTCGTAAATTCAATCCATATGGTATGCAATTTTAAAATGCTTGTCTAGAAACATATATACTTTTATTTACTGTCAATTATGCACAATTTTATGTCATTGTAATGATTTCAATGAATTTGGGCTGCTAATTTTTTTTTTATACGAAAACGCATAAACAGCGAGGGTTTTCAAAACCTTGAAAACACAGATGCAAGCAACCATGAAAAATATGTAACCAGGCATAAATCCAAAACAGCCTATGGGTCTCAATATTTTTCGTATGAGAGTTGATATTTCTAGTCAAGCGTTCGTAACGTAGACGTTACTGAAGGTGATGCCTATCAAGGACATTATCCTGACCTTTCGTTGCCGCTTCGACTCGACATTGTTAGGAGCAAATTGTTGTTATTGAATCATTCACTTATTCAGTTATTCTTTTTGCATGAAATAATTATCTGATACTTATATCTATATCCAATCGAATAATGCAGAGTATATAAATATCAAAGTAGGATTTATACGCTCAAGTTATTTCCTATCTTTGTTTGAATGCCATTAATATACATTATTCATATAGAAAACAGTTGCCTGGTCTGTTCTGCTATGAATAATTTGCAAAGTAATTCTTTATTACATGTATTAAATCTTTAACATACGAGCATTTATATCCCTTATGTCACTTATTTAACACACTCAAGTACCACATATAGTTATTATAATAATGAATACCTTAATCTGATTGTTTCAAACTTCATTCGTTTAATTCGGTATCCAAAATATGTAATGTTTTCTCAAAAATTAATGTTACATGAAGCGCGAATCTGTAATTGAGTTATAGCGTGATTGCGCGTTAAATATTGTGAAGGATCAACGTATACAAACAAATACGGTACTTTCAATTATAAGTTTTGTTTGCCCATTTCATTATGTGTATGGAAAAAATACAAATCAGTAGTTTTAAAAATATATATTTTAGCATAAAAAATATAATTTACAAACTGAAGGACGTCATACTCGAAGATGGGTATTTTTGCTTACAAGCGGAAATCTATTCTAGAATTTATATACAATTTCACTCTAAGGCAGTTTACTCAGTTTCAACAAACATTGTTTCGTTTCAAGTCTAAATACATCGTGACATTTTGTGTAAAGGAAAGGATAATTCATAACAAAATTTCAAGTGACGTGTGGCGAACGTCGTACTGACAACTTAATATTTTCGAAGTGCTATTTGTGGTGGAACTCAAGCGATTATGCAAGAACGATCGCGGATAGTTGTGTATAGAAAAATAGGGGTTTCCGCCAAACGGGAAGATTTGAAATATTTTTTTTTATTGTTATGTATCATAAGCACTTTGCAATGAATGCATTTCGTGCAGAACAATTAATTACTTGTTCGAATTTTTGAACCGTAAGTACAAACGCTTGGTTTCTATAAAAAGAAGCTGCTGTTCATTGTGAGTGGCGGGCATGTAATTGGCTTCCATTGTTTATTTAATATGTGTTAAAACGTAGCGTTTAATAGATATTCCATTGGTAATGGTAGGTCCCGTAAACAAATTCTGTATGGGTTCATTTAGTGTTCATGTGTACGTCACAAAACTGCTCATAATGGTTTATAAATTATTTAATTATGAGTGTCTGAGGGTGTTTTCATGATCATTTAGACAGCTAAGATATAACTTGTTTAAGTATGATTCTATGACAAACAAAATTAAATGTAACCTCATTGTTATCTTATTTTTGTTTTCTGATTAAATGACCGCATCGCCTGTCTTGTGTGATTCAGATAAATATTTTTCTTCTGTCATTATTCTTATATTATTCATAGCACAAAGTATATTTAAGAATCACAGATTTGAGCAATTACAATTATTTATTCAAATTTAATATATGAATATACTTGCTTAATTTACCAGATGATTAATTATCTTATCCCACCGACTTTTGGGGGGCAAATAGTTATCCTTCATAAAGAGTACTCCAATCGAACTTTCAAATTTGTTATTGTGAGCGACTTTCACGCGCCCATGACTACACTTGGATACATAAACTGTAAAGCACCTCCCGTAATAAAAATCAACAATGTATCCGTCTCGCATTCTTTGTTAAAATTTTTTAAATAACGACTTTGAATCGCCAATTTTGTACAATTCAGTGTAACTACTAGAAGAATGAAACTTTGTGTCAAAATAGATTTCTCCAGTACCCGAGTTTTGCGGAATTATAAATTTGTACTTCATTTGATTCCATGCCATTAATACTTACTGTTCGGTATTCTATCAATGAATGAATCTTTTATGCATAAAATCCTTAATTTGGAAAAATGCTTACAAATAGTTGTCGTCTGTTATACATAATTTTCATTATACCTTTTGAGGGTATTTCGGGGGTTGAACAACTTTATTTTAAAATTCTGAACAACAAATTATCACGTTCTTTCTACTGGCAAATAATAAATGATATAACTGGCAAACTGTTACTATAATAGATAATTACTATAATTCTGATTTCAAAAGGTGATAAAGCTGACTAATGACTACGAGCATTGTATTTACTTCCCTATTCGAAAGTTGAATTATATCCTTATTCTTTAAAATTGCTTTAGTTCACCGACAATATATTGTTATATATATATCAACTGAATTATAAATTTTGACTTTGTTATATGCAAAACGTAAAATATGTATGCTCCATGAAGAAGGTTTTTGGAAATAAAAAGATTCAGCGACAGGCGAAGACGCATTTTTATGACTAAACTCAGGAAGTAGACAAATATACACTGAATATTTGTCGTGCATGACCAATAACAAAACCATTCGAATTCATTCACACTTATGTAATAAAAATGGATAAGATGACTGGCTCGTGCATGACTGTACCATGTGTGTCTAAAATATAATAAATACACATGGCGTCAAACACAATGAAATTCACATGCTCGGATTTCATCCAATTGCCAAATCATCTTATTTTTTGTATTCCATATTTCGTATTGCATGGGGAATAATCTTTGATGCAATTTTTTAAATTGTAGTTTCATCTATACGACACATTCAGAAATGTCAACAAAACACTACAAATGCTTCGTGAACGTAAAAATGGAAAGCACAGTAATAATGTTTTGATAAGGACTGTTGTTTTTCACTGCACAAATAACTAACTGGAAATCAATAAATGAACTCACTAGTTAATCTTTTTTATTATTATTATAAGAAATAGAAAGCACTTTCGCATTTTGTGCTGAACTTTAAAAAATAAGTCACTCAAATGTGATAAAAAAAAACACTTCAAACTATTCTATTGTACTAAAATTGCACACACGTTATTTTACCAATTCGCTACAGCCATTTTTTGTTGTCATGGCATAAACCATTTTTTTTTCAAGTTATGGCACCTCCATGACGTATCTTTGACGTATATCCCTTGGAGGAGTCACTTATCTCGCAATCTTCCCATAATCATGTTTTAATATCAGTTCAAATCAGCGTTTTCAGTGAAACAGCTTATTTCAACGTGATAAATTTATTTACTTTGATGTAAAACTGCTTGAATTAAACAAAAAATGATGTTTTTAGGTCAATGGGATTCCTATTATTCGAGGATTTGCTGATGGTGAAGGCGACAATCATAATTCTGCTCATAACAAAGGAATTGTACATCTAAGAGCCAGAGATCGAGTAGAACTGCAAGTTATAGGTGGAAATCTTGAAAGTGGATGGAAATATTCCACGTATTCGGGGTTCTTGATATTTGAAGACGAAGACTTGTAATTCGTTGTTTTAACTACTTCTAATAAATGTTGGAAATAAAAAGGTAAAATGGTACCGTCTTACCATGGCGGATAACAAACGTGAAGTAATTTGGATCAAACGAAGTTTGGTGTTAATGGAGGAATGCGTCGAATTTTACGATTGTCTAGAATCTAGAAAAAAGTCTTTTTTTATATTTTTTTCAATTTAAATGTCATATTTTATCACATAGAGTTTAATAAAATATAATGCATTTTAATGTATGATTTGTAATTGTATGATTCCCGCTCCACAGAATTTTCAGGTACATTTTTAGCAAACTCTGTATTTCATCAAAAACGGCTCTGTCTGGATTTTCAAATGATCATAAGGAATAGTGTTATTTTCAATTTGTGTTTCAAGGTTATTTCCACTAAACAGCATAACTATTTATATTGCCGTGACGACAGTTTTCTTGGTGACGAAATCTCTCTTTCTCTATGTGGTCCCAGAATGTTATTTTGGAGCAGCGACAAGGATAAAATTTGTCATGCACCTCTGTTCGCAGCTGCCTACTGAACATGAATACATTTTCCTACATGTTTTCGTAATAATACAAATGTGTGTGCGAAATGGAAGAAATAGCGCGATTAACGACCAAACTTTAGCCACCTACAACTATTATACGTAACAACCATTGCATTAATTTTCATGTTAGAAAAGGTTTGCATATTATTTGCATATTGCATATTGGGCATCCTTTTATAGCAACCACATAGGTTTACACTCCTAAAATGAAAAATAAAAATGTATTTTTATAACGTCACTGTTCCCCGCAAAATCATAACTTACTTTGATTCCTAAAATATGTCCAATAGAACTGCGTGAACAGAAGTGAAAGGTTCTGTTGTGAAAACGCACAAATTTGTCAATCCTCCCGATTTCTTTCATTAAAATGAATAGATGAAATGCTAGCCTTAGACACAGTTCTGACAGTATTAAGTTTTTAGTGCGTCAGTGGTCCAGTTTAGATGAAATATCGGTGCTTCGCTTTAAGCAGAATTGTACATATACAGATATATATATATAGCCTATACAACGATAGTTATTATACGTGACTGAGCATAGAACTCAAGACATTCTCCTGCCTATGTATTGAAATCCATCATGCTTCAGTGGAAAGCCATCGTTTGTATTAAAAATAATATATATATATATTTTGATTAATGTGCGTCAAATTGCTTTGTCAAGAAATAAGTTTTTCGAAACAAAAGAACTATACACCCGCAATGGCCGCCTAATGCACCGAGTTTGGACCTGCCTAATGGAAGTAGGTTCTATAATTTAATGCTCGGGGTTTTGTTAATTAAGTCTTTTGTTTTATTTTATCGAATTAAATGCTGCGAGAAACAACAGGCTCTAACTTTTATTCTCAGAAAATTTACGAGTATAGAAACACCACAACCTTCAACAATAAAACTACCATTTGTGTTATTATGTTGGGTTGTGGGTCATTATCTTGATATTATCTTCCAGATTACTCCTAATTCATATATATATTATGACTGACTGCTGTTTGAGTGGGGTACCGACAACATGGATATGACATGTATCATTCGAAATATTCTCTGTGCGGATGCACATGATTCATGATTGTTAATTTTCTTCGATGACAACGGATATTCACATATCTCGGTCGATGCATTTGCGCACTCATAAGCTCCTTTGTATTAGAAATAACACTGGCAACAAGTCGCGTGCTCCACTTATGCCAGCTGTAACCTAAATGTACAATATAAAAAAAACGATCCCATGACAGTTTGCTGTTATAACTCACAGTTAAATGTACTCTCAGTCCCTTCAATCCACAGTACCTGAAAGAAATATTTTTAAAACGTGACGTTTGTCTATTTAATGTCGATAAGTACCTCTCTTTACCTTCAATTCATAATCTTACTTTTATATCGTACGAAAATACAGTATAGTACGTTTAACTTCATACATATCGAAAGGAATGACATTTTCATTCACTCTATAAAATACTGTTTGCTTCAAGGTTTTTTTCGCGTCACCATTCACTCCGGAAAGTCAAATTTTAGTGTCTTGCATATTTGAAGTTGGATAAAAAGATAAAAAATTATTTACTGAAAGGTGTGTCACTATCTATAACCAGCTTTGTGATCGTTTATTTCAAATTGGTATACACTAGTTAAGAATGGTATCGACAGACGGATAAGTAATGTTCACCATGCATCCAACAGTCTTGTTGCAAAATATGTTAAATGAATAAAATTGGGAGAATGTTTTACCAATACTGGGTTTCCACCACGTTTGCCAGGATCAGTGACTAGGTAAATTCACCAATTTATACTGCCCAGCCGTTGAAGTTCCAAATCCTATCATGTGTTACTGGACTCCATGGCTGTAAGATTTTCAGCGTTATATTCAAGTTGAATCATCTCCTCATTAACATCTCCATTGTGGGCATACATCTCGTCCTCCTCGTTACTACTTTCATACACCCAGCTACTCATCCTTTACCTATACACTCCAGTAGTCAAATAGTTTACGGAACCTGATTCTACAATTGATGAAAACATTAAATGATTAAATTATATCAGTCCAAAGTGGGTTTATATAACAGCGTGACTTGATAACATCGTAATTCGACTGAATATTATTTATGTCAAACAGCCGACAAACGAATTCCAGAATCGGCCTATTGCCAGATTGTCAGTACCGCTACGTTCATTACATAAAACGTCATTGCTTTGATTGTCTGACTGTCTGAGCTTCTTATGCATATGCACTTATTGGACACGTAGTGGACATAACGATCGTTTCAATATTATGTTGGTCTTGTTGTTGTGTACTGCGAACAGACGTGTCCATATATTTGGGCGTAGCTCTCTTGTGTTTAACATTACATTATTTTTCTGTATGAAATTACGTGATATTTCTGCAATGGGTTCTCAGTACAACGTCCTTGAAGACCGTTTACGAATTGAGGTCGATTTTTTTAAAGCGGTTTTTAAAAATTCATCAGTAGAAAACTAAGTCGAATATATACGTAAATAGTAGGCGTCAACTTGTTATTTTATTGACGTGTTCAAATGTCGCTAGATTAAATGAAAAACGGTGATAAATGTGTAAAGTTTTGTTTATACCAATTCTCAAAAACTAAAAAGTCTGTACGAGCCTCCCGGGGCGGCCGCCCCTATGTCCCGGGCACGCCCCTATGGTTGTGAGAACGGAGCCTGTATGAATATGACAGTGGACCAATTGATGTCAAAGATAGAAGCAGCGATTAGACATCCTGAGTTATCTGTTATTTAGAAATATGCTCATGCTGGGTTGGCGTGAGCTGTGAGAGAATAGAAAAATGTCGGTTGGTCAAGCCTACTGGTAAGTTCGGATGGAATTCCTGGAGTTACTGTACTCACACGAATAGGGTTCAGGTTCAGCCTGTTTGACCCTAACCCTAACCCTAACCTAACTTAATGATCGTGACAACATGGAAACAATTTAGACCTAACATTAGTGTTTCAAAACATAGATCTGTTCAACTACAGGATCAAATGCTTCGAAACTTTCAGTGGTTGAAGATTGTTGTTGTCGCTAGAAGGCTATTACTTTTACTTATTTTAAAAAGTTCTGTGTGCTCCATGGAGTTCGTTTTTCACTTCAAATTTTTGTGTGACGACGTCTTTAAAATTAAAAAAATTCGATGCCGTGGTTCAGTGACCTCATTTTGTAAAGTTTAACATTCACTCTATTAGCAGAATAATGGCTAAACAGCAAAAATACGACAAAGACTAATCCTAATTTAGGCCTTCCGTATCAAAAAATGTTGATATCTTTTCCATTATATCTGCACTTATTGCAGTAGAGGGCAAAACAAAAATTCAGTTTTGATATCATATTCATGAATATATCGCACAAAAACTAGTAAGTGTGAGCATATGACCTCTGCATTTTACATCATTATACCCTTCGTATCTAATTACTTATTTGGACACAGGTTTTGTACACTTGTTCAAATCAAGACGAAAGCAGGAAACAAACTTGATGTGCAAGATCGCATGAGATAAATTAGTAAACTATTTGTGTTGAGTATACGTGAAAAAAGGGAGCTAATTGAAATGTTGTCCAAATAGCTCCACTCTATTGAATGTTCGGTTTGAAAATTGTGGGGGTCCGCGGTTACTTCAGAGAATCATAGGGAGTCCGCAGGTACATAAAGAACCACTGCTTTAAGACGTATTCTTCTTGTAATTTCTTGGCATATCCGCGGACATATTTCAAACAAACAACTGTGGAACAAGAAGTTGAATGGGTTAAGATGAAATTTTTACACCAGACCTAACTACTAGGAGACCTAGTATATTTCTGACAATGAGAGTGCTTTTGATTTTAGTAATAAGAATGAGAAAACCACGAAATAATAATACGCAAGTGTCGATGACGGCGGCTCATTGATATTCTTAGCAGACAATATTAAACAAACCTCCACCCTCCTTCACTCAAAGTCCACCTTATCTCTTAAATGGCCCGGCCTATCCAAAAATTAGCAGTGTTAGTTTACTAAAGGATGTATTTCTGACAGCAGATAAATAAAATAAATCCGAGTTCACATACCTTTTTCAGCAAAATTTCTCCCTTTTAACGTTGGGACTCTATTATACGTCGTTTTTCTGCCCAAGTTAAAACACCCCTTTCCCCAAAACACCCGCCTTGTGAGCTGCTGAGCGTAGAATACAAAATGGGTGCTAACACGCGACACCCGACCTACCATATTGTCAATATGTTGGAATGCCATCATTGTCAAGTTTATCGGCATTAAAACAGCACTGACGGGCTGAATACAGTACTGGTATACTCAGTGACTACCTTTCGAAAGTTTGTATTTAAATAGAAAAATACAAACAGAAAAAATATCCCGCAGCCCTTGTGAAGATGTCTTTTGCTTCCTATTTTTCAATGGCGATAAGGACGGTCATTGCTGACACGAAAGATACGAACCAAAATGAGATGAGATTTAAAATTTGGTTTGCGAATTAATTCACTACTATAATTTTACCCAACGTCTTCCAGCTGATGATCGCACGCCCTGTTTGACTGAATGAACGTGCAGTACTACAAGAGTGGAACAAGAAATTGCGGTACTGGCACTTTTGCGTTAGGTTCAGATGATTCTTATCAGTTCTGATCCTACCACTGGCGGAGACGAACACGAAGTTGACCATTCCACCAGATCTGTTTCAATAGGTTAACCGGGCTTGTC